TTTGGTGTGAGGGTGGTGAGAGCCTGGCCCAGGTTGGCCAGAGAAGCTGTGGCTGCCCCATCCCTGGAGGGGTTCAAGGGCAGGTTGGAGGGGGCTTGGAGCAACCTGGGCTGGTGGGAGGTGTCCCTGCCCAGGGCAGGGGGGTTGGAACTCAATGATGATGTTTAAGGTCCCTTCCCACCCAAACCATTCCATGATTCTATGATAAAAATGTGCAATTTTGAAGCAGGTCTCAATGGGATGCAAGTAATGACACGGGACTGCACCTTAAAGATCGAAGAGCCACCCCTAGTGTGTTACCTTAAAGATTGATTTTAAACCTTAGTTTTAACTTCCCACCCAAATTCTATTCTCAAAGAGCCACCCCTAGTGTGTCACTTCACACTACTTACCTTCTAAACCTGCAGCATACAACTGTTATAGGAATGTTTGTACAATTTTTAAATACACCCTGAAACCTCCTACACGCTTCTATAGGACTGGGAGGAAGAGCTGTCTCGTGGAGAAGACACTAAACTAAGAGAGAGAGTAAGAGCGAATAAATTCCAGCTTCTGCTGTCAACGTGACTTTCATCACTGCTCTCCCTGCTTTGGTTCATCAGTTAAATGAGATGTATCTCCAGACCCTGAAGGAAGGAGGAGCGGGCACTCTTTGGCACTTGGGACACAGCCAGGCTTAAGTGTTCAGACATAAAAACATTTGTTAAGGCATGAAATCCTGCAGCGTAAATGAAAAGGTCACTGTGTTACTCACCTTCCAAAAAAGATGGATTTAGTAACGCAGCAGGAACAATAACCGCATTCATTTTTTCAGGATGTTCAACTTTTTCTAAAAACAGAAAACCTCTGTATTTTTCTATTTTTAAGTTTGGCTTGTGCAAATAACTGTCTCTCCAAAAACACTATATATCCTTTTTGGGTAAGTGGAAAAATTCAGGGCCAGGGAATAACATCTGTATTGCATAAACAGTAAGTAGCGCTTGACAGCGTCTTATCTAAGTGTAGGATCTGCTAAAAAACAAAACAAAAGCCTCATTCCTGTGAACTGTTCCATGTTATCATGGAAAATATTAGCATGATACTTGTGGCTGTTTTTAAAATAGTAGCAATTAAAATACTTCCAAGCCACAACTTAAAGCTGACACGGTCAGAAAGATGATCTCTCAGTTTTACAGATGTCCTTCATAAATTTACACACACACACAAATACCCCTATTATTTCTACTCCAACAAAGTTCTCTCCATTAAAAAAAAACCCATTGGAGATAAGGAAAGAGATGTGAGATGTAAGGAAATATTAAGAAGAACATTAATTAAGAAAGTCAACATTTAACTCAATGGAGGAATATTTACTGACGCATCCTCCTCTGATTTCAGCTTTCTTGAGGTTTACTGGCTGTAAATATTTTTGAGAGCCTTCACAGTCCATCACTGTTGAGTGAGGTCTCACAAGAGCTGTATTAAGTGTGTGGCCACAACTGCATTAGCTGAGAACTGGCCTCTCCTGTTGGGTTTCTATTCAGGGTTAGAGTTGGAAGGGACCTTAAAGCCCCCATATCCAGTGCCACCCCCTGCCCTGGGCAGGGACACTTCCCAGCAGACCAGGTTGCTCCAAGCCCCCTCCAACCTGCCCTTGAACCCCTCCAGGGATGGGGCAGCCACAGCTTCTCTGGCCAACCTGGGCCAGGCTCTCACCACCCTCACACCAATGAAGTTCTTCCCCACAGCTCAGCTCCATCTCCCCTCTTGCAGGGTCAAACCCTTCCCCCTCCTCCTAGGGCTCCCCTCCCTCATCCAGAGTCCCTCCCCAGCTTTCCTGGAGCCCCTTGAGGGACTGGAAGGGGCTCCAAGGTCTCCCTGGAGCCTTCTCTTCTCCAGGCTGGACACCCCCAACTCTCTCAGCCTGTCCTCCCAGCAGAGGGGCTCCAGCATTCAAATCAAATCTGCAGATAATTGCAGGCAGACTCATGAAGGGACCACTTTGTTCTAAATAGTCAGATGCAAACCCCCCAGCGTGACAAATGAGCAAGGGGGGAACCTCAGCGCGTAGCGGGGAACTGCCACACAGAGACATCAGGGGTTCCATGCATTTATTCCGATTTGAGATAGAGGGTTTTCTGGCAAACTGGGGCAGGAAGAACAGAGCATGGGCAGAGCAAACTGGAAAACTGCAGAAGAGGTTACAGAGCTCAAAAGGAATGGGGATGCTCCCATCGTGCAGTGACGAAGATGCAGGTAGAGCCCTCGAGTCACCAACTAAGTCTTGACTGAGGCTGAAACAGTTGGAAACCTCCTGTTTTCCTCCCTGCAGGGCAATATTTATGAATTGAATATTTTTCTTGAATCTTATATGGTTAACCCAAGTTATTCAGACGGGAAGAAAGACACTTCATTTGAAAATATGTCTCATTTCCTTTGTGGAGAAGCACTACCTCAGAAAGGAGGAAAATAAAAAAAATACTAAGCACTTCTACTTCCAGTAATGGGAAAATTACATAGTGGAAAAAAAGCCTAGAAAGTGTGGAGGAAAACCAGGCTATGAACAGAAAATGACAACTCTCACTTGACTGGTTAAAATCAAAACATAATTATAAATTGTATCGCTTCCCCATGTGCTGTGGGATATACATACACTATGAATGCCTACGTCCATATTCACTGTTTCATATTAAAACACTCTAGTAATGAATAATATAAAATAAGCAATTTTATATGCATAATTTTACAGCATTATAGCCTAGCTCTTTGTTCACAAAATTAACTGTAAACACACAAAAAAAGTCCCACTGCCCTAAGCATGTTACGTTGTGTACTTCAGTTCCAACAGTAGGAGACCAGGAAAGTATCTGGAGTTCCATGGTATGGAGAGCCATGAAGAGCAGCCAGACTTCTCCCTTCTCCCCAATTTACTTAATAACTTAATGAATCTATTTCCACCAGCATTGATTTCTCATAACTGTATTCAGCCGCAATCCCCATAGAGAGCAGACAGATTCTGCTGGACTTTTACCATTGTTCAGATACTCTAAAGCAACACTCATTTCAGTAAACTGAAAAAAAAAAATCAACAGTTAGAATTAAATTTAAATGTTAACCATTCCACCCCCAACCCACAATATTCTTGGTTTTGCTGTAAAGAGCTACACAATAAAAAAATAGCAGTTTGGGTTTATCTCTCAGCAGGTGTGTAGGGTCCAGAACTTATCTCTGGCCAACGGAGCTATATTTCAATTTATATATGATGAGCATCTGAGGGTAAAAGCAATTCATTGGAGAAGCATCCATTCCTGCCCCCAATGAAACCCCAGAGCGGTTGCTGCTATATCCTTATGGGATCTTAAGAGTAGATAACAAAAAGGGAAAACAAATACCACATTGTCCTGTTCTGTGGGGAGTGAGGAATTGTGGAGACACGCTGCTGGGCAGGTGTTCTTGCAGTGATGGGAAGGAAGCCCTGAGAACAGTAAAACAATGTCCTTGTATGGTAATGTGAAGGCAACAAAATAGATAGCAAGCTGGCAAATAGATAACAATACCAAAACAAATAATAATGACTAATTGGCATAGGTGCATGAACACTTATATGTAGCCAACTGTATTGCTCACAACAGCCCCACAACCCATCTGTGTAGAGAGCACAGCACGTGATCAAAAGAGAGAAACTATATATGCTGTAAAAATCAAACATTAAATGTCTTCACTTCACCACCTGGCAGAGTCCCTGCCCTTTGTGCCGCGCTGTTCTTCTCCAGAATTGAGCTGATGAAATTTCAATTTCTGTAAGGCTGCCCTCATATCATCGGCCTCCCTGTGGGAAGTGGCTGTTGGGAGTTAAAGATAAGAAACTTATCCCCTTCCTACCCTTTTCTCAGGGGTTGTTAACCCATCAAGGGTATTTTGGGCAACTATGTGGACTCTCCTGATTTTATACATTTTTGGCTAAGTCATACCAGCTTTCAATTACAGCAAAACCCACAAAATGGCAAAATCTTTAAAAACAAAATTCAAACACTGTTTCTACCAAGCAATAAAAAAAACACTTTCCCCACAATTCAGTT